ATCATATGTTATATATAAATATTTTTAAATGCATGTCACGTTTCATTCGTTGAGATACTGTATAGAACCACCGACGTGGTGATTTTGTTGCGAATTGCGATGAAGACTTTCATCCTTTTTTTAACAATGTTTTTATGTTGTTGGTCTATCTCTTATAATTTACTTATGGTTTGTTTATTTTTTGTTCTTAGAATAAAAGATAAAGAGTGATTATTAATGACTAATTGTTATTTGTTTTCAAAAAAATGTGATTTTTTAAATTGAAAAACAAGTTTGAGTTTTAAATTCAAAATGAATTAATAAAAAACTAATACTACATAACATTTATAATTAAAATAAAAATCAACTTTTTTATAAAGATAAAAATAATAATTATTACATAATAATAATTTTTTATCCTATACCATAAGATAGATAAACTGTTATATTTATCTTAAATCACAAAACTATTTGTTATATGAACGCCTTATAAAGAATAGGTACGCATCAACCAATCATAAAGAAAATGTTTAGGTGGACAATCATTGTTTCTTATTCTCACGTATGTATTGGTATGTAATCCGAATGAGACGATAGTTTGTGGTCTTGAAATTTGGAGTAGGATATTAGTTTAGTTGTACCAATAATGTTATATATATACTAATAACTTATTGATTTAAATGAAAGGAGTTTGATTTTTTTAAAATAATATTCCAAGTTCAAATCTTATAAATAAATAAACAGGCACTTGAAAATTTTCTTCTTATGGAATCTGATATAACTTAACTCTAAATTAATTGAGATTTAATATGACTTTTGAAGATTAGGGGGTTAAGAAAAAAAAATGTTATATATGCAATAATTTTAAGTACTACTATAATTGTGATATATCTCAATTTATATCAATGATTTTTCTGATCATCAAATAAAAAAATAATTATAAAATTACACTTAAATATTAACGAGTTATTGTATTTAAAATTAATTATTGCATGTCTACTTTCTTTTAGTTGTGTTCATGGTTGGAGTACCGACCTATTCTTTTAATGCAAAATTCACCCTGATAAAAAATATGGGTTCAGAATTTTCATTTACAAACGTTAAACAGTACTCTTCCTCTCTTTTTTTTTTTTTTTCTTGTCTAATCTGGGTACAGGTTAAAAATATAATAAACACATTTTTTTGTCATTAATTCACATTAAAAATTGTAAAAATTGACATATATTTTAAC